CATCATCCACTTCATCTATTGGTTGATACTGTTGCTTATAGTTCTCGATTCGCTTCAAGAAATCCTCCTTCGCTTGCTCGGCGGACATCAATCCCTTGTAGTCAGGTGAGTTTACCTGAATGTTTGTTCAAGAAGAATAAGAACAGAAGAAAGAGAATAAGAACATAACCAGATGCCGATGCGAAAAAAAGTAATGCTAAGTAGAATTCAGCAGATTCCCATGAAAACAGTTAGTAAAAATTTAACAAGGGAAGGGGCCACAAAGTAGAAATATACTACGGTACTATCACAAGATAAGGGGGCATCCTCTAGCACCGAGCCCAGGAAGGGGCACGAACTCGGGGAAAGTGAAAATTGCTCACGCGTCTAAAGTCACCTCCCTGACTGAAACTTACTCCCAGTTTTAACACAAAGGAGATGTTTTAGGCTGTTTTAAACGACATCATTATGCCCCCCCCCCCTACCATGCGATAGCGCCATGTAGCAATTTTCCGACATTCTGTATCGGCCCAGACTGGGGATTAGTCAAACCCGACAAGGTGAGATGTAGTAAAGAATGCCTACCTTCACATCTGTTATGTTACTATCGATGATACGTTCATCATCACAGACAGACTCAATGAAGAAGCATCGTAACCTGAACGACTAATATACATTCCATCAAGTGACCCACTGAGGGGAAACTAACCAGTTCTTCTGACAGAATTCGTTGATTGTTTTTCGACGTTCCCTCGTCGTATTAGTAGCGTCGAATATTGCGACATTGCACGCGCCCGACTTCAAGCAGTCCGCCATATCATTCATCGCCCGACGAGCTGACTCACTGAAATTGCTCAAGTGTACCCGAACACTGAAGGGAAGATCTAGTACCAGCATCAAAAAGAGCAAGAATGCCGCTCACAAAGGAAGTTGAGCATAAAACAGCGTTCTGACGACAACTATTACTCGGTCAGTGAGCTGATCATAACAAGTAACGATATAAGTGCGTGAATGAGATAGATATTCTAATCTACCCGATTTTGGTAATCTCACTGAAAGTTGGCCGATTGGCTCCTTCTCTATTTAACCAGCGCCCTCTCTCTTACACTATTGTGATCTAACATTTTTGAACCATCAGCTGTTCTTGACTAGAATTTGAATCTGCTTATGCATGTTGGCAAACACCTAATAAAACTGTTGTTTTGGTCTTCAGCTTTCGGGAAGGAAAAAACTGCTCAGTAAAGAAAATTGATGAAGGGAAGAGACACTCCCTTCCAATTGTAGGAAAACATATGGTCTCATCAAATTGTTTACACTTTTGAAATCACAGCGTTTCCGACCAGCCCACATAAACTGCACAAGGTACCTGTTTTGGAGACATCTGTAGTATTCCCCACTTCATAAGAAATTTACAGGAAAATAGGCACACCTAACAAAATAGCTTCATAGTAACGAAAAACAAGGAAACACTGTGCCAGAAAAAAGCAGTAGTCGACAAATTGAGAAACAAGGGTAATGGATAGAAAATAAAAGGTAACTCACTTTCGTACTTTGAGGGCGGCGGCATTGTTTGGGGAGAAGAACGAGGCGTTCGCTCCATGAACAGCATCAGCAGCATTTGCTTCCGTGCGACGGTATTCACCAACATTGAATACTAAACTAAGAAATAATAACGTGAAGGTGTTTGAGATGGGAAACGTGACCCATCAAGAACCTGATAAGGACAAAATAACAACTGAAGTTACCAAATGCTGCTCAAGATGAGACCAAATCCACAATTTGTTGACAGTAGAAACTTGGACCGATTGGTTTCGACCAGTTTCTTGACTGTTCTGCGAAGTGGCGTTGGTTTTATCTTTTTATCTTGAGCAATG